GACATTGAACACGGCAGTGACATTGATTACGGTAGCATCGCGAAATATTTAAAGGCTAATTCGCCGTCTGATAAAATATTAAAGTAATTAACGATGAATATTCCCCACCGGTTAAAACGTTCATTCGCGCAGCGCTTTGAAATATTTCAGTTACGACGCATTACAATTATTATTCGCTACAATGAACTTTCGATCGATCGATATTTCGCCACTCTTAACGATAATAACAACTCGTTCAATTTAGAAAATTGCATTTTCTCACGATCGCGACGCGCATTAAGGAGGAGGTGCGTTACACACACACACACACATACTTTTTACGTTTTCCATGCGCGCCTCCAGCTTGTTTAAAATTGGAATACGAAACGGTGCATGTGCATCCGAGTGTCGCTGGTTCCCCGCGGAACCGATATCGGCCGCTCCCTCGTTTCCTCTATCGATATTATTTCGTTCTTTCATTCAAGTGCAATTCGTACGCGCCTCAAAGAGAGCCGCTCTCTCCTCCGCTCGATTCCGAGTGGCTGTTTGAAACTGTGGGCCGCGACAGGCGCGTCGCGCCTCTGTCTCGCGAGAGAGAGAGAGAGAGAGAGAGGAAGTCCACGCTCGGCGGTGGAAACGGATAGAAACCCCGATGCAGGAATTATGGACTAAAATTAAATCCGCCGCAGTTTCTCCAGACTTATATCCCGCCCTGATCCTTTCACGTCTCTCCTGAAATCCTCACGAAATCTCTTTCAAACTCCGCCGGCTCCTGGATTTTCGGACGCATGAATCGGCGATAGCCGAGTTTTCGCGGGGGGGAGGGGGGGATCGGCGCAGATACATTTGACGCATCCGACAAAAGAATCCCCTCCGTGTGAGGAACGCCTTGTTTCTCGCGTTTATATGTATATGTGTGTGTGTGTGTGTGCACGCGCGCGCAGGTGTATGTCGCATCGACTTTTTCGCGCATTTTCCTAATCGTGGCGATTTGCAAAGGACCAGAAGTTTTTATTTGAGGTTTTCGCGGTTTGGAGCAATGTTCTGTTTTGGCTTGCGGGTTGGAGCTGCGTTTTTGCCGAATTGTTTCCAACGTTTCGCGAATATTTCAGTTAGTTTCATTAAGGAGAAGTGCAATCCGGTACTTGATATCGGTAAAGGGCTCTTTCATTCAATTTGATGAGCTTTATCTGCACACGAGCATCGGTACACCGCAGATCTACGTGTGTTATCGTTGAGCTCATAAGCGTTCATAATTTGGCTGGAGGTTCCTTTTGCAGATTTCGGGCCGTTTAAGTCACGTGTTTATTTAATTTGTGTTTAACGCACGTGTTAATTTAATACGTGCAAACGTATGCAATTGCAAAATTAAAAGTAAGTAAGATTAAGCTAGTAAGATTGCCATGGTGCTTTTTCGACTCGTGAATATTTATATTTTCGCGGAAAAATTCTCTGCGTGTGTGTGGCAATAACACACTTAAATTTGCAGTGTGCACGTTGGCTGTGTCCGCTGGACACTCCGCGCAGAATGTTTTTCCCGACGAGTCTGCGAGGAAAGTGGTTTAAAATTATTTTTAAACGTACAGGGCGTGTCAATGAGCACTATTCGCCGTTGTCGCGAGTTAATTCCACTCGGCGAGCTTATGGGTCATTATCATTTATCGCCATGCTAAATTGTCGTTTTAATCCTTTCTTAATACGATTTTCATAGCTTTGCATGCAAATGCATCCATTAACGCTCGCTCGACATGCCTCCTCTCTATATCAGTCTGTGTCCGTCGCGACGATAAGTTCGACGTCGTAAAACACGATCCTTATAATATGCCGGGGGCAGAATATTCGCACGAGTTAATCTACTCACTGGCGTATATCGGGAACGGCGATTGGTTGATTGGACGTAGGGGATTTCAATGAGCTATTATTACGAAGTTTGTACGCACGAATCTCGGGGTTCTATCACACCGCTCAATGAGCCGAAGTTCCTGTTCGAATCGGGTTTTAAACGCGACTTGAAAGAAAATTATCTTCGAAAGTAGCGCTCAGTTTGTATTTTATTTTCCGCCTATTTTGCAGCACCTTTCGTCTCGCTTGTGTTTCGCAGGAGAAAAAACAAGCGAGCTGGAAAAAAAAAGATAGCGATCGAGCGGAAGATGCTTGAAATTCCCTAATGCCGTTTATCTGCACCTCCTCCTTTCGATTGCCATCGAGCGTTTCGAACGGTCTGTAAAAATGACAAAATTTCCCCTTTGACGGATCCTGAAAATGATGTTCTCTCGAACGCCTCAAGGCACAAACGATTCGAAAGGAGGCGCAAACTGGAACGAACCATTCTCTCTCGAACGCCGTTGAACATTTTCAGATATCTTCTGCTCGATCGCCACTTTCTAAGCCCTTTGCATTTTTTACCACCTAACTAGATGTTTACCCTGGTACAAATTGAACTTCGTGGGTGTTCAGCCACGAGGTAATAAATTTGTGTCTAACGTCGCTACTAGTACAGTAATGTAACGCTCACTTCTTCTAATGGTTAGATAATGGCTAGATAAATAAGTCAGTTGATAGTTAAACAAATGATATCACAGTTACAAGATGGGTATGCTTACAGCTGGATTATATTTTAGAATATACAGTCATCTACTATATGTCTGATGTGTAATTACTAGACAACAGTTATGTCACAAAATTCGAAATTTTCATGAATAATCCAGCTAGTCACGAACTACTAACAAGCTAAAAAAATTTCGTCCAGCTTGCACCAGCTATAGCTACTAGCTTTTGACTCAGGTCAAGTAGACACATTTCTAGTCGAATACTTTTGCCAGATGCACTCGACGCACTCGATGACCGAGAAATTTTATTAGCGACTCACTTGCAACTGCGTTATACGTATTAGTTCGCGTTATTCTCCGAACCAATTAAACTCTCGGAAACCTCCTTGAAAGATGAGAGGGTACGTTGAACGGAAAGTGCCCGGTTCGACTGGCGGCTCTCGTTTGTCTGCTAAGTGAGTAAACTCCATCGTTATCGAGCGATTTCCGGCTAAGCAGACAAGCGAAAACGAAACTGCACGATGCAATTCGTCAGTGGCGAGATAAGACTCGAACGAATTGCCGGCGAAATCGACGCGATAATACTCCCATACCGCACGAAGACGCTGGACGCCAGCATGCAAAAACTCAATTGACCGAGAGACGTGTATGTACGAGTGCCGCGTAAAATATCAGTCCGACTGTCGGCCACACTCGTCCTTACTCCGTTTCAACATTCTATCGTTTTATGCAGATAGATGAGCTTTCTCTCGCGCATCCGGAGGACCGAGAATCGACCGTATGCAACTGAGAACGATTACGAAATGTTTTCGTCCGCTCGTCATCCTCGACTTAAAATAAATCGGTCCGTGGAAATACCGTTAGAAAGGTAATGGTTAATACAACACGAAAAAATTCGAAAAATCTGTGCTAAATAATTATAAACATGATTTATGATTTACAGCTTTGAGACCATGGCAAAAGAATATCAATCAAACTTACAAACTTATTTTTAAACGTAATGTTTAAAAATATATAAAGGAATAATCTGGGTTGACGCAGAAGTTCGTTCCGTTCTTTTAAATCAAAAGGTAATATTTATTTATTTTAAAATTTACACAATTAATTAATTAATTGTGCACTGTTTTATCCGATGACCTGCCAACTCTCCGGCAATTGCGTAATACTGCATTCGCAGTAATTCCAGGGCATTTGAGCGTAGAATTGATTAAATAACGGAACGAACTTCTGCATCAACCCAATACGAACGAGTCCTCACGTTTAATCCTTCTAAAAATACTGATATCCGCATAGAAAATTTTTTGGAATCTAATTGAGATCCAATCCGATTTCTCAAAATAATTATAGATTCTAATTGGGAAATTTGCATATGTAATGTTTCAAGCATACGATCACAAGTAAGAAACGTAATAACATTCCACTTGATCAGCTCCGACGTTTTCCTAAAGATTTTTTTTTCCGATTTCCATTTTACACTTCCATTTTACACTTTTACCAAAATCTGAGAAAATTTCCGAGAAAATGCGGGTATACAAATTTATACGTTTAGATAAGTCTAATTTTTCCTTAGAATTTAATTTTTCCTCTAGTGCTAATTTTTTCCTCTATGCTAGTTAAATGGCGTGTCGTTGTCGAAATGGCGTTCAGTGGTTTAGACGCTCTCGGTCAACTCGACGGGCAAAATAAATACCGTTATAAGCGGCGGGTTCAGAGAAGTTTAACAGAAATACGGCGCTTTCGCGACTGGGCGGGTAGCGTGTTATAGTAGCACCCTTTAAATCTCGACTAATAGAGCGCTGAGAGCCGAAGCGGACCAGGAAACTCGAATGGCTTATAAGGAAAGTAGCGTTGGATGGGGTGATTTCACGGTACGAGGGATTTTAAACCGCGGGTTCCGTAAACTCGCGTCAAGAATGAAGTCTTTACAGTTCGCTGCCGCCTGGCATTTTCACCCTCTTCTAGAAGCAACACGCCCCGCGCGTGCTATCGCCTGCTCGGAAAATTTCGCGATGCCGTGCGCACGGTTTAAGGAAGGAAGCGAGAAAAATGCGTTATCCTACGTGGAATTTTCTGCTCGCCGCTTTGCCACCGCCGTCACACTTCGGCCTCGCGCGATCATCCTTCCCTTTATCAATTTCCCCTCTGTTAACCCTCCCCCACCCCTACGGTTATTCACCGTTATCTTCCGTATTAATCACGTCACAGAAAAAGGGATTATTACATTTCGTCCTTCTTTCGCTCGGCTGTTTTGTGCGATGAATGAAAGCGCGACGGCAGCGCGAGGAGAGAAGGAGGAGCTCGGCACAAGAGAAGAAGTACTTAAGAGAATTCTAGGGAGATCCTTCCAAATGAAATGTCATAATTCTCGAAAGAGTGATATATACGCGATGAAAGTACTCACTCGTACGGCTAAACCGTCAAGACGTCTTACACAATGGGGACAAATTGGCTTTACGGACTTACGATACTTACTTGCGGAATTCTAAACAGCCGTAGGAGGTTGGCGACTTGAATCGACGTCACCGAACTGGCCGCGCCGACCACACCGCTGATTATCTTCCGCACGGCGGTCTTGTTGCAGTGGTATTCCGCGCCGTCTATGTTGCTGATCGATCCTGCAGTGAAAACGAACGAATACGTTTGTTATTGAAAGTCACACAGGCCGTATCGATGTATCATATCGATGTATATCGATATGAGTGATCCCGAACACACGCGATTTCGCTCGTCGTCTTCGACAATGCTCTAATTTGCTTTACCCGACGACCTTCGCGAACGGGTCTGGGTTTTAGTACGTGCGTTATGACCGGCGACTCGTTTATTCGAGCGAATGGATTTTTCTGTCGGCGCGCCTGTTTCCCTCAATTTTTACCTTTTACGAACACATCGGACCCGCGATGATTTATGATTTGATCGAACGCGCGAACGTGTTGCATTTCTCTTCGGAAAACGTAACGAAAATCGCAAACGGATTATCCGATAATTCCGCGAACGTAACGAAGTCAAACACGGTTTCTTTTCCTGGTGCTCTCGTCATTACGGTCAATCAGTCGCCTGCTTATAATTTATTCGGAAGTAATGTTTCGAATTAGCAATTTAATCAGCTTAGTCACGCTTCCATCAGCGAGCTTTGTATCGGCCGAAGTTTGCTGTAGGTAAACGCGGAAATGTACTCGCATTAATGTATTAATGACGCGCTGCGTTTTGTTCGTATAGTCAATATTTTCATTATTATACTGGATATACTAGTCAATTAATCTGTACACGGTGATAATTCATTTTGTGGCACGCACCGGCGCCGGTTGAACCAATAGAAGGGGCGATACGCGCGAGCGAAGTAAATATCCGATCGATAATGTGTTGCGCGGATTTAAAAATGAACGATTTGAATACACTTCGTTTCATATATATATGTATATACACATACACATTACTTTCAGTTCAGTACCACCGTCAAACTTGTTTTTCATTCATCACTCGATACCTCACGCAAATAATGCAATTAATACTTCCAATTAATATTATCAATGCAATTAATGTTTACGTCTGTTTTCAAAGTAAATCAAACTGCCATTCTCGTGCCAATTTTTGAGCTACAAAATGTCCTCCCAGGTCCCGGTATTCCACATGGGTGGAAAGTGCAATGGGAGAAAATAATTCGGAGGGACAACAAATTTTTATGTGCTATCGTAACAAATAAATAAATACGCAGGATATTTTTCAAATACTTCTCGTTAATTTAGGAGTTGATTCTTAACTAATTTTGTGAAGAAAAATTTACACGAGCGTATGTAACTTTTTTCTTAAATTGACTTCAAAAATTAACTCTTAAAATATCAGATAATACTGAAAAAACGCACGGTATATTTATTTATTCGTTACGACGGCACAAAATTTGCCGTTTCTCCAAATTATTTTTCTCCGTGTGCATAGCCGGATAATTCTTGTACACCGTTTGTTTTTCCGGGATTTTTCCACCGAGGAGGGTCGGAACGACGCGTCTGAGTAATTCTTCGATATTTTGATAGAGGGGTTCCTTTGATACTCCGTTTCTTGTTTTATTCTTAGATTGGATGAGTTTCGCAGTTTATCTCTGGCGTCGACTTTTATCGGCTTTTTTGTCTCCAAAATTGGCTGTAAACCAAATTGATCCTTTATCCGGCGTAAGTCGTCGTACGTTGTCAGCCGATCGTCGAGACGGGCGTATACGGCGGAATTGGAATTAATGAAACTTTTATAACGTACTTCATAGGACAAAGCCGTCGGCGTTTTCAATCTCGCCCTTCTTATCGCCCAGACGTACTACTCCCCGCGGTTTCACAGTATAACACCTGTTGAATCGGCGGTCGTCCTTACGTTGTCTGCGGCGCTGATCCGCGGTTGCGCCGGCAAATCATGTATGGAAGAAGTTCGAACTTGCAGTATTCAATGTAAACTTACAAATTCGGGTCTCTAATGCGGCGAACATGACGCACGCTGTACTTTCAAACACGCGGAGAGCGGTGATTTCCAGAGTTCACAGTAATATTCGACTATTTTCCAGTGATTTTCCAGACGAAAACAGGTGACTTGATGACAACATTATCTCGTCGATACGAATAAGATATCGGAAAAGGAAAAGACTGTATCGGGACTTCTTCGAGAATTTCGTCACTGTCATTTCGCCACTTTCTCTGTCATCTGAAAATTTTCCGTAAATTCGACATTTGCACGTTACAAAGCGTGCTCCGAGCATGCTGAAGACCGTGTGAAGTAGCAGCAGGCACGTAATCGTCGTCAGCGTAAAAGCGTTAAATTCTCCAGAATTTTACATCCGACGAGCGCCATTCTCTATAGCTTCGCGTCCGGGCGCGTGGCTCGGGCGTGTTTACTGATGAAATTCGCTCTTATTTCTATACATAGCCAGTGTAAATATTTGCTGAAGGTTCAGCATCGCAGATATCGAGAGGGTAGAAGTCGAGCAGCGACCTTTCTCGGCGGTTTCGAGTTTTTGATCTCTCTCTCTCTCTCTCTCTGTCTTTTTCTCCCATTCATCTGTCTCCCTTTTCTTATTTTTGTGCAATTTCTTGTCTAATTTTTTAATATCTACCAGACTATTTTTCTTACTGAACAAGTTTTCACTTGTTATTTATCTAAAATTAGAACTTCATTATAAGACCGATTTTCGGGACTTTAGGGATATAAAATAGATTTGTAACGGAACCTTCCTCTATAGTGGAAAATTTGCATTCACTGCACACGCAAATGTAAGTACATGTGCATGCATAATTGTGATCAGAATCAGTTTACTTAATCTATTTGTCTCTCACATAACATAACTATGAAACTAACGTTAGTTACTAAACCGAACATCGGTTAGCTGATGATTTAACATCCATCGTTATTTTTCATTATAATATATTCGTATTAAAAATACAATGATGTTACAAACTGCTTCACGCTAATAATGCTTCGCGAAATGAAAATGTTGTTTCATTAGAATACACTATGTTGTTTGATAAAAGAAACAGTATTACTTAAAGAAAATAATATTTCGTTTTCCATAAAAAAAAAAAAACAATTTCGTTGTACATTAATATTGTCCCATTGACACAAAAAGAAGTTCATTGATATTTTTCTAACTGAGTGTTAATTTTATCACATAATTTATTGCTTGTGTGATATCCATTATAATGTTTGAACAAAAATACAAAAGAAATATATTATTTGTCATAAAGACATATATTATTCGAGAAAGTACACAATCCTGCTTGTCGAATCAAATATTCGTTTGTTTGTTCTATCTCAAAAAACAAATTTGTTTTAACAATTAAAGAAATTTCATTAAATCCAAAGAAATCTTTCCTCGGTGTGCCAGCTACTACATTTGCACCATTATTATTGTGCGCTTTATGATGTTTTTACTTTCAGACTTTCTCTCTCTCTCTCTCTCTCTCTTTCTATCCTTCTTTCTTCCTCTCGAAGCCTCATTTTCCTCTACGCACGTGCACCGACGACGAATCAATGGAAATGAGTTTACGACCTTTCCGCCTCCCACAAAGCTCGTATCGATCCCACGAAGCCCGTTCGATCCCAGAAAATTGAGAAACGTTCCGAGCAAACCTGTGTAAGAATGTAAGGACATATGCCCGCGAACGGGAACAGAGCGCGAGGCGCTTTACCCGTAAAGCGGAAAGCGGAAATCGGCGCGTATTCGATCGGTCGTGGCGGATGATGCCGCCGATCTGCCACTCTCTTTTCGATTCCGTTCGTACGTTCTACGTGTCGGAAAAGACCTGATTTTCACGGATCCTCGCGCACGATAATGCATGTCCCTTTCCTCAGCCAAGATTATCGTCTCGGAACGTGAGATAGGCCAAAATGAGGGTCGACGAGTGCAACGTGAGAACGCGATCGAAATGCGCTTGCAACGCCACAGGTATGATTAAAAGGCGAAAACGAACGAATAAGAGTCAAGCCGGCTGATTCTTCACACCGTGTGTTTATTATCTCAAGAATTATAATCACATATATATACGTGAATGAAACAGCATGATGAATATAGATTTCAATAAAATGATACGCATAAACTCGCGTAACTAAGGGCTTATTTGGTACGGTAACAGCTCCGCTTTGTTTTTCAGTCAGTACATTGTTGAATGACGTTACTTCTACGCATGTTATCGGTTGAAACATAAATTTCGCTCTTTCGTTTTTATTCAACGCACTCTGTCACATCAGCATGATATGCGTTATTTCCAGCCTTAATATTTCACCGGCCGAGAAGGTAGGTCTTCGTTAACCATTCCGTCTGAAGTAGAAAAGTACTCTGGACAAAACTTATAAATTGATGGATCACTTGATCTATCTTGATCGTTGCACTCAGCGTAATTGGCAAACCTAATACAAAGGGACTTAAAAAAGTATCACCACCATATGATAACGTTATTAGCCTTCTTGTGTTCGCACGTATGTATTACAATCGTTACATTTCCCTGAATAAATAGATACTTGTACGAAGCTAAAGCGACAGTGGGAATGTCCGCTTTTGCGAGACTTCGTGAAACTTAATTTTCTTAATGAGAACAGATGAGACGATCGACTCGCGAGATGAGCCGATTAACTGAAAATTTCACTCGTAAATCGTGGTGACGTTTGCATAAAAAAAAAAACGTGGAAATTTAATATTTTAGAATATCGACTTTTCGCGCCTTCTTTAGAGAAGGATTAATGTTAAAAAATATATCTGACCAAACTATTCGTTTATTGCTATCATATATAAATTTTGGTATCAATATGAATGTATCCTAGTCGCGCAATACAAGTCCGGTAAATTGTGCTATCAATAAGCTATATTATTTAAAACAGAAATGTTCTGAGTGTATTTATTTAGATGTTCACATGTTCGTCGTATTGATGCGTCTCGCGATGTTCGACACGGCACGTCTACTCGATAACTAACTGGCATTACTTGAATATGTAAATCTTACGCGGAACTGGCCAATACAAATTATTCCAGGTAATAGATCGTTAACATTGTGAATATTCGTGTTCGCTTATGTACTTAGTGTATCGTCCCAATTGTCGGCTCATTGGCTATTACTAGAATTACGATGGCCCGTTTGCCCGGAAACTG